TATACTGTTAACAATTTAGAGAATATATTCTCCTACTACATTGCCTATTTGTAATGTTCTATACAATCACAGCAACTGTTGAAGGTTGGAAATTATGAAGTTAAGCCGTGATTATATGGATGTCCTTTTCATAAAAGGAGATATTTTTACTCTTCAGAGTGCCTAGGTTTATTATGCTATCCTTTTTTTCATTTATTAGCCATAACAAATCCTTTTTTTAATAACTTGGAGATAACTCAGCTGTCATTTAAGAGTACTTGTTTTGGATAGTCATTGTATAGTAGAGCTGCTCTAGAGATCTTTGATTGTATAGTGGAGTCTAATAAAATACATATCTAAGATGGTAGAATTATTGCATAGTTTAGCGGAGCCATACATCCCCTTTGTGTAATTGGGACATTGTCTTGCTCGACTGGTGTTACGATAGACACCATTCAATGTTTCAATCAAATCTTCATCTCTCTTATCTTATCTTCCGACTAAATTTTTATATTCAGATACCGTTTTTCCAATACATTGACTAGTAAAATTCCATATCATAAAATAGGAGGATGTAAAATGTCAAAATCCATCCCTTTTGCCTAAATATATCATTCGTCTATCGAAATTTGCTTGAACCTTGATTTGCTTTATGAGGAGAGGTAAAATTTTGATATTAAGCTTCTTCCTTATTTGAATATAATTTTAGTGTTATTAATTTTATCGTCTCGGCTAAAAGTAATTGTATTCGAAAAGTCTGATTGAAATAATGTTATTGCTTAATGTCGCTTTGGTGAAATAAAGCCCTTGAGAATGTATACAAATTTATCCTTTCTATTCCCCATTTTATTATCATTTTGTTTTGACCTTATATTGATTATCTAAATGGTCATTATATTTGTATGGGGACTCATTCTGGACTTTTTTGAATGGATTAAACTAGCTGTGGTCACCTATGTCGCACGAGTTGATAAAGGAATGATAGTTGAATTTTACCGCAATAATATGAGTGAGTCTCATACCACTGAATTTTGTCTATCATTATCTTCCAAAAGGTATTATCAGGATTCACTGAGGTTTTTACCTTGTCTGGGAACGAATTTATATGTCACTATGAGACCTATTTAGATAATTGTGTAAGAATTGCTTCGTTGTATTAATATAAAAAAAGACTGGATGAGAATGAAATCTTGCTACTCAAATATAATTAGTTTCGTTGACGGGAAAAACGTTTCCAACGACAAATTTAGACGATTATTGTACAATTTCTTTTTATCTCATCTGGCTAGTATTTTGGAACGTAGAGTTCCTCAAGTGCTGTAGTATTTCGAGTTTGAAGAGAATATTCGCACATGCAAATATTTGATGGTAGCAAAAAGTAAGTGGCACTTACTCTTCTTTATCCCTTACGTTTATGCTTCTCAAAGATATTTCCAGACCTGTAAGATCTCCGCATTATTTGACATCAATTATTTGAATCTAATTAGACTTTAGGAAACCCTGGCCACTCTTCGCTTCGTATCAATATTTAAACCGATCTGGCAGAATCTTTCATATTTGATTCAAAATGTGATTTCCTATTATAATTTACTTTGACTATGAACAATAATAACCATTTGTCTATTTACCTATTCGAGGCATGATAGTTTGGCTGAGCCCGGCTAAGACAAAATACACTACTTTGTTTTGCCTTGTTTTCTAAAATGCTTCATAATTAAGATTGGACTACAGTTTCTTCCTTGCCTTGCTTCTTTAGCATCTCCACTGAGATTCAAGACTAGATCTTATGTAAACAAGGGCAACATGATAGTCTAACCCGAGCGATAATAGAGGTGTTTGCTTGTCTTATACTCATCTCACTGCAATCTAAGAGTAACTTGTCTTCTCTTGAATGTCTTATGTGTCCTGCGACCCATCGGTATTCGGGCTGTATGATCGTTTACCACAATCCTGCCACTTTTTGTGCATTAATCAGTTTGAGAGAAATCCTTTTGAAAGGAATCTATACTGTGGGATTTATTATCAAAGAAAAGCTTTACCCTAATTTTGTTACGTCTAGCCAAACTATCCTAAATCACCAGTGAAGTACATTAATTACAATTACTTTGTTTTTTTCCTGATACCTTCTAAATTTAGAGCTAACTTTCCTCTCAAAACGTATACAAATGAGTTTCTGATTGCATTGTTTATTAGGCTGCAATTGCTAATGCACTTCCATATGTAAAAAGATTAGGCATATACTTATCTTATGATCGAAGTCCTTCAGTGTTTTCTTCCGGCCTCTTGTTCTCATCTTTCTATATTTGCGAAGAAAATCAGGGTTCCGTTAAATCTCATGTTTCATGAGTGTTGAGCTTACTTGCATTTCGAGGGAAAATGTTTGATGAAGAGATTCGATGGTCAATCTTACCAGGAGACGATGGCGGATTCCTCTTAACCAGCTGTCGATTGGTTTTATTGAAATATTATTGTTGACACTGTATCCAATGCAATCTATTCCGATTCCGGTGAAACGTGCTAAGCTCTCGTCCATTGTATGACGGACATAATCAGAACAGGGAATCATCCTTACAACCATATTCTAGTTGATGAGTCAAGAATACTCACCGTTGGCTCGTTAGCCTAAATATGGCTTTAATGATGATGTCCGTCATACAACGGACGAAAGTTTGGCACTTTTTCACTGAAATCAAAGTATCATCAAGAATGATCCGGTAGAGCCAATTTACAGCTGGCTAAGAGGAATTCACCGTCCTGCTGTTAAACGTTCTAATCCCTATACAAAACACCTTTATTTGAAATGGAAGTAAGTTAGACAACTTTGTATATTTGTTTGACTAGATATTTTAGTTTTTTACTTGAACTAATTCAACAGCGTCCGCTTCCTGATTGTTCTCAAATTTATTTATTAAATCATCATTAATTTACGTATCAATATTGCATATAATTAAAACCTTTCTTCGTTATTTAGTGTATATACTTCTAAATAATTGTACCAAAGCTCGATTTGATTATTTTCCCAATTATGCAGACAACATTTCAATAGGATTTTTATCCATTAATTTGTGTTTATTCTTAATTTCTTAATTAAGAATTTTAGCGTTATTCTTTATCCATATTTAAGCAGCTCCAACGTTAGACCTTAAAAAGATTCTCACTCGCATTTTTGCAACTCATATCTTAAGGATATTTCGACGATGAAACTATAATGAACCTGGGGTGCACATTCCTGGTTTTAATGACTAATTCGAGCTTCTCTTTAAGTTACTTCAAGTCTGCACAATTGGGATCATAGAATAAATCAACAATCTAAAATAGATATTTCCATTTATTTTGAACGTGTCTTATTAGGCTGATTTTGCATCGTATTTCTTACCTCTTGATAAAGATTTGCTGTCTTAGTAAAAATCTAGCTAGATAGCTATAGTTTCTATTGCCACAGATTTTTTTAGTAACGATCCTCAAGTATTCTGTTTTTCAATGACTCTATGCTAAATTTAAAGAATTTTCTATATTTTCTTGCTGCTAATCTCCAAGATGACTTATTCCACTAAAGATTTCCTATTTCGTAGATACGAAAAGTAACTGAGTTTCGATTCATATCCTAAGATAATATTGTTTTGGAGACCTTCATTTCGTATGAAAGTGCATGACGAAGAGATTCCTAGGTTGATCTCATCAGAAGAACACGAATGAATACCGTTGTACTACACCCGTTTGGCTTTAATACGACGTTCTTATATATTTTCACAACTAAAAGCGAAAATGAATAGGCGCAGATAGATATAGGATGGTTTGGCTAATTATCTTTCATACTGATCCTGCCACTTGCTCGAATATGTGCGTGCTAACGTGTATACTCAATACTGGTCCTAAATCAGAGTGATCAAAAAAGGATAATCTCAGGCTTAGTGACCCAAGAAAAAGGCCTGACCGAGACTACTTAAGTCCGCAAGCAGGTATGGTTGAGATAATGAGATGTAAGCTTGTGAGCATTTAAATCAGGTTACGAAACCACCCGTTCTTACCTCTCAGTCTATATTCATTAAATTGAAGATGTGAAGACCAAGATGTTGTGGCCTCGGGTATGGTCGCAGTCTCCTTTCGACTTA